TGATGAGGCGGGGCCCGGCGGCTCGGCTCTGCCCCTCCTCGCCGCCGGCCGGGCCCGGCCCTTCGGAGCGGAGGCCGCCTCCGGCGGAGGCGGCCCCAAGCACGGAGCGCAGACCTCGGGCTCCCCAAAGGCTCGGGCGTCCCCTTTCAGAGGCTCGGGCGCTCTGGGCGCTTGTCCTTGAAGAAACTCCTGCTGTTGCGCTCACCCTGCTTCAAGGTGGACATCTGGAACTTGCTACAGCAGCTCGGCGGCTGTGGCCCGCACCCGTGGCGGTCACGGAAACTCACGCCGCTGGACTCCGCTAAGCAGATGCATCAGATAGACGAGGTGCTTCCCTTTCGGCCACCTGCTTGTCTGATTCTTTTTTTTTTCCCTTTCCTAGGCATCGCTCTGTTCTTCCGAGAATAACTGCAAGAACTCTGATCAGTGAGTAGTCAAAAATGTTCAAATATCTGTTAGCAAACCTGCTCCCATCGTGATCGAGTGACATTATCACACCAGAATGGTGACTTACTGACGGCCATCCGTTACTGCTACTTTTTTTATCTCTAAGGTCATTACCAACTTACAAATTTGACTTGGCTGGCTTTGCTCTGTAGACTAAGGTGAATGATCCTCTCTTTCAAAATGACTCTGAAGTGTCATCTTCTGAAAAGTCAGTTTGCAGATTCTCTTCTGTGGCCAAAAGCATTGTTCTATTACATGAAATCCATTGCGTGCAATTCACTACGTACAATACTGCAGCTGCACTCCTGAAACGTAATAGAAGCAGTTCTCCTTTTTTTGTTCTCTAAGTAGATCTGAAAAACACATTTCTGGTTGTATTGGAGCTATGAAAAAGTAATTTAAAAATAACTGGGGGAAGCAGGCAGTTGTCTTAGGCTGGCATTTTCAGACAGACCTATGGTATTAGGTACCTCATCTCAGTTAACTTTAAATAACTCTTTGATACGTTTCTCGAGAATCCAGCACGTGTAGTTCTCTCTCCTAAGCAACAGTAAAGTACCACTTTGTAAAACCATTTATTGACTCAGAAGCCAATTTTTACAGTGGGATTATTTGCGTGTTCTCAGCTGGAGTAATTTTACAACTATGAAGAACAGTCCTCTGAAACTAAATCTAAAGGGTTTTTGCTCCATACTCTTACCGATTGCTTTCCCTTTTTCACCTCAGAAATTGTGTGAAATTTATTCCCTGTCATACACTGTTTGACTGTAGATATTTAAATCAGTGAATCATCTACCTTCCTTCACAGATGTCCTCAGAACATGTCTAATTGGACAAATCTGTGGTATGTCTGGTAAGTTTATTATTAATCTTACTAACCCAGAATAATTTGAAAGTTATTATGAACAGTAATTGTAGTAAGGTAATGGAAACACTCTTCTCGGACAGGATGGAGGAAAGGGTTTCTCCTCGGTTTTATGGAAGCTACCAGTGGAATATATTACAGATGAGACTGCAGGGGAGATAAGGTGTCAGGCAGGGTACAGCATTCATCTAGTGATATGTCATCTTTCCTTTCTGAGTACACTGCAGTCTAACTGTAGGGCGTGTTTGTTCTTCCTAAATAGACAGCTTGGCTGAACACAGTGGCAGCTACACCGCATGGACTTGTTGGGGCTCGGCACTGCGCTGCCTAATGCAGAGTCCTCAGTTCTCTCCCTTTTATGGGACAAGAGATCGTTAGCTTACAGTGTTGCGTTTTCGTTCTGAACTCAAGCTGATTACAACCATGTTTACTGGCTGTTTGAATGACTGAAAGGGGGAAAATAGTGATAAATAAAAGGGTAAGCTCTTGTCACAAGTGGATTCGTATTTTGCCTAACACATGCATTATAGGTATCCTAACATTATTTTTATAGTTTGCATTCTGTCAATATGTTAACTTTGATGGTAGCACGCAGAGTGAGCTGGTTACTTTTAGCTGTCATTCAGTCTGGACTAATTTTGGTTGATATTCTTTGCTTTCTTAGAATGTGCTGATACATAGAACCGTTTAAAAATCCATAGTTACATAAAATATTTTAAGAAGGCTTCTGTCATTAGGCAGCGTTGACATCATGAAAGCTAATGAGCTAGTGCTGAGATTTATACTGCTGAGATGCCTTTACCTAGGCGATTTCTGCCTTCATCAGAGGGCAGCAGCATATTAAGGCATGATGATTTCACAGAACACACTAGCATGCAGCTCGTGCAGTGTCAGGAAATACTGATTGGCCAGCGATGAGGTAATACTCCTCGCACTGGGGGAATGTTTCATTGCAAAGTTCCAGCAGGGCAGCATGTTCTTCTCACACATGGTTTTAAGTTGCCTGAAAGCATTTTTCTAAAACAATAATTTGCAAGAAAATGCATAAAATTTGTGGAAGTTTGAGGCCCTCAAATCCAACCTTTGTACTGAGTGTAGTCTTTGTGTGTATCTGACTCTCATACTAACAGAAATATACTCTTGTTAAAACTAAATAAAACAGTTATTAAATAAATGTTTATTTTGGAATCATGATTCTTATGGGCAAGTACTACCTTCGGCTTGGAAAAAAGAATAGAGTGCTACTGAGGCCATTTTTATAATATTTAGGATGGAATAGAATCCTAACGAGAAATTCAGGAGCATGATCTGTCACACAGTAATTCCTGTCAAGCCACTATGAAGGTACTTCAACTTTGTCCTTGGACCTACTTCTTTACAGGACTTTCAAGCATTTCTTACTACCTCATCTTCTCATGACATGTCTTACTGCTCACCTACCTCATGACAGGAGTGGATTCATTTGAGAAATTGGGGGGCGGCGAGGTAGAGTTTCAACTGAGAGTAGAACCTGAAACACTAGCATGTCGACCTAGGTACACTATGAATTGTTAAACAATAAACTTTGTTAAACAATAGCTAGAGATAGAATTGCGTTTTCAAGACATACTACAAAACATAATTTCTGTGCTTATTTATAAATATAGGTCCTAGATTTGTGAAAGTTTGTACTTGTATTTCCCTCCAAGTACATAACCCACTCTTACTGTTGAAAGTGGAGCCATTCTCACTGCATAAAAGCTGAAAATACAACCAAAGATAATTAACATTATGGCATCTGTGAGCCAGAAGGGATTGTACTGACGGTCAGTAGTACTTCAACTTGTGATTAGGAGTTTGTGGTCCAACTTTCTAGTTCAGGACCTAGCACCCATTCAGAACTAAACCTAGGAAGTTTGGCCTGTCTTCACCCATTTAGATTGAAATTATGTTCAGCTCTGGAAGAAGTAAAACATAAGCAATGAAATTATGGTATTCTCCCTCCTTCTCTCAGGTTAATCTTGCTGGGTGTATTCCTGCTCCTGCTCTGTGGGATCACAGCAAGCTGCATCAAATTCTGCTGCCGGAAGAAGAGGCCTCCCGTTGAGACCTTCTCTAGGCACCCTTATGATTTGACAGTTATTGCTATTGACGGTGACAGCACTGCCCATAGCACAGTGACCTGTAAGTATCCTCTGGGAGTCAACTATTCAACAGTGCTTTGCTACAGTTCAAGTTTGCTTGAACGTGTTCCTAGAATTCTGTGTCTAGCCCTTGCAATAACGGGGACTTTCTGATGTACTCCCAGAACAACTTTCAGCCCCGTAGGGTGGGCAAGAGAGATAAAGGAAGGTCATCAGGGCAACATAGTGAGTGAGTGCAGAAGACAAGTAGGATTTAACACTATAGAGGTTAAAGTAATAGAGGTCCGTGGTGGGTTAACCTCTTACGTGTCATCTCCCACATCTGTTCTTATCGCCATTCCCTTATTTTTTTAACTTTTCTGCCCGCCTCACTGTCCAACTATTCCAGACAAGGTTCTGTCTAATGTGAGGAATTGTTCACAGCTGTTCATGCACGAACCCAACTGAAGCTACCTCTGTTACAACATATGTGTACTATGTCAGGTATTTCACAATAGTTACTGGATGGTGATATGCAGAGACATTTTCTCATCTGACTGCTTTCTTTTGGAGAATGTATAGATTCCATCACGGGTAATTATATACTGATAGCTTTTACTATATAATGCATATGTTCTGACACCACAAAAATGAGACCATAATTTCTTGGAGAAAAGCAGGATTAGCCCTTTATATATCAATGTTCCATGCAAGTGTTTAATTTTTTTTTTTATTCCTTTTCTTCACAGCCTATAGCTCGTTGCAGTACCCTCTAAGTGCTCCTATTAATTCGATATTTGTGGATATGGATAAGAACACTGTGTCCCCTCCAGCTTACAGTCTCTATGCAATGGAGTTGCCACCTTCTTATGATGAAGCTGTCCAAATGGGTAAACAACACATTGAAGTAGCACAGATAAGCCAGAAACTCAATGACATCCCTGGACAGGTGACACCAGGTGGGCTGAGTCCCATCCAGTATTCACCTGATACAATCAACAGAGATCCAGCAACACAGGCAAATTCAGAAAATTCAGAAGATGCAACGCAAGAACAGCCGCAGCTCTGACTTATTTCAGATGGGGAGTAGAGGAAGGGAAGGACTGTAAGAGTTAAAGAAGACATGAAGAGTTTGGTTTTATAAGCAGGTTATGATAGAAAGATGTTTCCTCTCACACCCTTGTAATGATCTGTCGGTTAGAAGAAATGTTTTCTGTGACTGCTGTAATCTCCTGGTAAAGCTTCTTCAAGGATATGAAATGAAGTAAAAGGGCAGCAGTTTAAAAATGCCTGCAGAAGTGGGACATGAATGCTTGTTCATCTGATTAAAAAAAATATATTCCTTGTGTCCAGCATATGGCAATAAAAAAGGCCAGGGGAATTTTGCCGTCTTGGGAACACACATGAAGAGTCAGAACAGTACAAACAGAAGCTTCCCAAACTGGAGTTGAAAGGGGAATCCTAGCAAGTCACACTGAATAGCCTCTGTAGTTTCTCTTCTGTTGAGAACGTTAACTGTTCAGCAAATTGCTGGAGCGCAAACTGCTACATAATGGCACATGTTCCTTAAACTGCAGGAAGATGGCAAACGAGGACAGGAAAGTGTGTGGAGGGAAATGCATTATGTTATGTTTCACAACTAGAGACGAGGAATGAGAGAGATAAGAAAAGATACTTTTTGTTGTTGTTGTTGGTCATGAGACCTGAAGGGATTGTTTTTGAGTTTTTTTAAATCTTTAAACTTCTATTTTCAAGATGAGCTGGCTTGTGGGTGGGATCCTTTTGCTACTAATTTTTGCCAGTTAAAGTACATATTAGTCTCAAAGAGACACGTGCATACATGGTTAAGTATTACTAATGTGTTTCAAATATTCATCAAATATTTCAAAGATGTCTTTATACTTTGTTATCTGGTCAGGCGTCAGGGTCTCAGTCAGTACAGAAAAGAAAAAAATCAAAGATTCCTGGTAGCTTTTGCCAGTTTAGTACATAGATGAGCTCAGTAATGTGCAGGATAAAACAAAGCATGCTCTAGCTATGCCATCTAGAATAAATTATAAATACAAAATAACATAGTACAGGCTGGACAATAGTCCAAAGAAATTACTGCTATGCATCATTTTAAAACTGGGAGCTTGGAGTTGATTACAGCTGTCTCAGCCCAAACAAAAATATGGGCTATGAGAGGCCTTTTTTTAAATGACAGCTCTTTCCCTTTCTTGCCCCTCCCATATTCCAAATAGTATGAATTTTGTCCACTCCTGAGTAGTGATTTTCTTTGAATCCACTTTAGCGAGGTGCTAATTTGGCTACCTTTAAGAACAGGAGCAATCTACAGGATTGTTCATTGCTATGGGATTATCTACGGGATAAGAGCAGGAATGAAAGCATGAGCACTAGGTGCTGTTAACGAATGTAACATAAAGTGTGGAGTGCTAGGTCAGAGTTAATGTTGACTGACCTTCTACTAACAAGAATATGACTGATGGTCTTCATTTTCACTGAAGTTGCTTTGGTAGCTGTGAAAAGGGGCTAACTTCTGCAAATATTTATTTGTCTGTCATTAATAAGCAGTAGAAGTGGTGGGCACAAAATCTTGCACAGCTTTTAGAAGACTCTTCTCCTACAGCCATTACTGCAAGAACTATCCTGGAAATGAGCACAAATTATTTAAAAATTAAGATCTCTCTGCCAGCCAACATGACTGAGACTAGAATCTCTGCTACACGTTCATGGTGTGTGAGCTGTTCATGAGTCCGGCTCCATAGAGTAGTGTTGGTTCTATATTTAACTTGCACATAGCTTACTATGAGGGTTGCAGGGAAAGATTGGTTTAATAAATCTGCTTCTCTTCTGTCTCTTAGCTGTCCTTCTTAATTATACTTCTCCTGTTTTATTCTCTCCTCTGCCTTCTTTTTCTGTGTCAAGATGGAGACTAGGCATAACCCAGTGTAGCTATTTGGATGTCTCTAGCTGGAAGAGCAATATATGCTCAGTCCTGGGTGTCTCCAAGTCACAAATACAGCAGATGTATTTTTATTTATTGAACTTTTCCATCAGGATAGTACTCAGAAGCAAATCCTATGCCTTTCCAAAGAAGAAATCTCTGTCAGAGGGAAATGGCTGACAGCTCACTCACTAATAGAAACAGGAATATAAAACCAGGCAAATTAAAAAATAGTGACTGACACAAGAGGGCAGTCCTTCCCTTTTTAGTGTATTGCATTATATCACCACTGGGAACAGCTTTGTAATAGACGAGCTTGTGGTGTTGCAAAAAGAGGCGAGGGCGCTTCTAAGGCTCAGTTTTGCTCAGTTATTCAGAGATTATCCTGCAGTGCAACGACTGAGCTTGCTTGAGGATGGCAGGGGAATAATCACAACAGTTTGACTTCCCTTCCCTTCCCTTCATGCTTTTGCTTGCACAACGCTTCTGTCTTGTGAGTTGTCAGCAGTACCTGACAGACGATATACCAAACTGCAAGATCTGTTTCCATTTGGTTATGGGGGATGATAGTTCTAACTGCAAGACCCCAATCAAAACCCTAAATGCCCATGGAGTGCTTACAAATCAGATCTGATTCCGTTACCACCTGGATTAATAGAAAAGCCTGTCTCACTCTGGAGCACCTCTTTTGCCAATCTAGCCTAGTTAGAATTGCCCTGCAGTAACCTGTTGCTTAATTGCATACTTCCACAAGTCATTATCCAGACTAAAAGAAAACAACTGGACTTGCCTCTTCTTATGAAAGTACAGAGTAGGCAAAGAGGGAGTAACACTGCAGGAACTAAGTTTCAGTGTGTGTATGTAGGAAGCAAGTGTTGTTTGACACAGCATAGAGAATAAAGCACTTAGTTATTTCCCTGACTTCCTAGGAAGAAGGGCATAATTCGGTGTTTTCTTTCTAACACCTACAGAAAAGTCTTGTGTTTTGCCCAAGCTCTTGCCTTGTAACATGGTTTATTAATTCAAACATAAACTATTTGTTAATATAAACTACTGACGTAATCAGCCTGTGGGAGCACAGAATTTTCTTTGCACATCAAAAGCAGCTCAGTTTGCTCCTCACAATGTTTTCAATAGTGATGTCTCTCAGCCCTTTATCAAAATCATCTGACTCCTCACACAAAGCTGATAATCAAAGCTGTCCCTGGCCCTCTGTCTTTGAGGAGGCAGATTACCCCCACAACTGTTCATTATTTACATCTCCACTTAACAGGTTTCTTCAGCTCAATAGCATTGCAGAAGTTATATCCCTCCAGACAGAAAGATCATGACTAGGGGATTTACAAATTCCATTTAAATTCCTGCAGCAAACAAAGAGCTCTCTTCCCATCTTGAGAACAGTTTGTATTTGTGTAGAAAGTCCAGTTCATCAATTAGAATCACTGTCGCATGTGGGAAAACAGTGAGAGAAAACGACACCGTAATGAACTAATGTCAGAAAAAAGAATTAAAAGGGTGGTCTCCTGAATTCTGGTCTACACAAGCAACAGCTTGAAAATGTTGCTCCCATATGCCTTACATAATGCTAAATAGCAGGAAGTAGAATGGAAAAGAGTGTCTGCTGATCACCTGGGTCTTTTCTGTTTAACTGGGCAAGTCAGAGAGAGATAGACTTTCTTGTCGTTAATGTCTATAAAAATAGGCTTAGTAGCCAGCTTCCACTCAATGTGCATTTTTGCAATATGACTAGGAAGAGGACACTATGAGTTCCTAACCCTACTGCATGGTAAGTTAAAATGATCTTCTTTGTTTTAACTGATGTTTTAAAACTCACCAACCAAATCCAAAAGTATGGAATGGTGATTAATGCTCTATCTTAATTTCTACTGCTGTTTTCCATAAAAGTTTCTCTTTTGACTTTTGCTTTGTGTGCTGAAAAGCTGTTTACCTCTCAGTGTGGGATCTGACTTTATAATGGTAGAAAATTTGTTGATGCTCTTAATGAGGCTCAAACAGCAAGTGGGACACTTGCAAAAGCTCTCAACCTAGATAGACATGGTGTTCCTTTGTATTTATTCTACTGAGCATGTAAAGTGGAAAGGAGGGATAGGACTATTCTTAAACTTTACTTGTTCTTACTGGGTATGATGACTGGGTCCCTGGTTTTGTCAGCGAAAGTACTTGGAATGTAAATGATTAGTTTGCCTTTAGATTTGGATTCTTCACTGTTAAAGTCAGAGGAAACAAAATGAGATGCTGCTGCAGAAAAAGAGCCTGGTTTACATTCACTTTTATTGCTCTTAGCCACATATACCTTCCCTCTTGTATTTCCAAACAAGTATGACATGTCTCAATTTCTGGTCAGAAATCTTGTACAGTGTTGCCGCAGGCTCTTTAGGAGCCATCAGATAGCATCCAGAGGTGGGTGTATATCAGTGAGAAATGAAGTGATCTCTATGGATGTGTTTCTTACAACCGGTTTGTAAAGTACTCTGAAGTTTCAAAACAAGACACTGTAACTGATACTATTTATTAGTGCTATGGTCATCTAAACTGTGAATGTCTAAACCAGAAGCCTTTCATCAGGAATGTGCTATCCCTGGTGGTACTATATATAATAGCCTCTCTGGAAGATCCAGGATCAGCGTATTTCCACTCATAAAGAATTAATCTATACATTCCCCCCCCCTTCAAAAATGCTTTAATAATTAAACAGGTTTTTAAAAAGAAGTTTTCCAGAACAGAGAATTGAACTTAAATGGACAGATTAAAAAAATTCAATTACTTTCTAATAAGGTAGACATTCAAGCATGTCTAAATAATTTTAAATAAATGTCTAAATAATTTTAAATTAAGCTATTAACCAAACAGGACTTCAGTCATTGTTAGATCTGCTCAGGGTTACTCTGAAATCATTTGTCTTTGACAGGTGTGTATCACAACACATTTTTTCATACAAATCTCATGCCATTTGTGTAAAAGATGTAATATTACAGGCACATAAAGAACCTGCAGGTGTTACAGTGTGGTACAGCAAAGAAAGGCAATATTCTTGCCATGTTCTCAGTATCTTTGAAGACTGCTCAGATAGATCTATTGCTAAGTGCTGGCCCCAAATGGAAAATGAACTCTCCCTTTCATATTGCAGAAGAGGGCTAGGCGGTTAGTCATCTAGGGACAGGGTTTCTTGAACGCCTTTATGGCTTCAAGAGCTTGAGACTAAGAGCCCTATTTTTGGAAGACTTGCTTCTGACTATCTGCTTGAGACGAGCTCACAGCCAAGCTCTGTGTCTAACATGTCCAAAGGATGCATCTTCCTAAACCACATATTTTAGAAGATAAGTATTATAAAAGATACACTTGCTAGGAATTTCAGAAAAGAAGATTAACAGAAAACATGTGATGGATGTTTCCTTTCCTTTAACCTTTTGAGTAATAAGAAATAATCCATTGATGATACTGATTGTTCCCTGGTACTCGGCTGGCGTAAAAAATACTTTTACCACTTGCAGGGGTAAGAAAAGGCCTATTGCAACAACATACCAAAGATTAGTCTGGTCTATGCTGAAGAAATCTACAAACTCTTCTCAGGATTGCTGAGAAGTGAGCTCCAATGGTCCTAGCAGTATTGGAAGCCATAATCTAGACAGGTTGCTGATGACCACCGTTAACTTGGTGATTTTCAATTGCAGCATCTTTCTTACCTAGAGCTATATTGACAGCATATTGATGCAAGTGCTCATGTTTTACTATTGGCTTAATCAAGTTGCTCTCAGCTGTTGTAGGAAGGCATTGGAAAGTGTAAACTCTTGTCAACATTGCTATTGAAGTGATTCCCCTTTATAATGCTGAAGGCTTCTACTCTCTGGCTAAGGAAACTTGCTTGCAGCTGCCTATGCATGTGCTATTGAGATGTGTTCTGTTTAGAAGTCTGTTAGGTGACCTCCATCAAGTCACTTCCTCTCATGTCTGTTTCTTTTCTCAGCCTGTCGGTCTGGTGTTTAAGACACATGTTCTCTGGTGCAGGAAATTCTCCCACAGTGCCTACCATAGTGGGAATCTGGTCATAGAGGGATCCTCTCCATATTCAAATAATACCAACAGTTGGGGAGAGGGGAAAAAAAACTGAAACCCACAAACAACCCCCTCCCCCCAAAAAAACCCCACCCTTTGAATTTCTTGAGCAGTGGAAGTAAGAGAGTCTAGTTTTCTAGAGTTCTAAATCTTATGACAAAGTTCCCTAACACTTAAGAATACGTAACCTTCAGTAGAAGCTTTCCTTAGAGTTAGGACATGCATAAGATCTTGTGTGTATTCTCCAGTGCCTAATAAGGGGGAGCTCATGCTGGCGTCTCTCTTGCAGTGGGGGTATTAAAAGATCCCTCTTCTCTACCCGGCTCTTGTTTTCCTGAAACATTTAGAAGCTTCATGTCTCTGAAACCTCCAGTTCTCTATCACCTTGCTTGAAATTGGTCAGCGAATTCAGAAACTATTAGCTGGGTGTGGAGAGTGGAAGGAGGGGAGACAGGACACAGATTTGACAGTGTGATTACAAAGCCTCACTTCCGTAAGAAACTAGGTTTAAAAAGAACATAAAGTGGGAGGCTTGGTCCCACAGCAGGTTATATGCTCAGCTGGATGGAGGATCTAAGAATTCTGATTTGTCAGTCTAGTGTTTTTCACCATCACTAGATCCACTCAAGTCTGATTATATCCACACAACCTTTGTGACATCTCTAAGGGAAAAGCCCCTCTCTGTAATTACCCAAAGTGCATTTCTAATTGTGATTTGAATTTGGTGCTCATCTGGCACTGTTCAGCATGCAATTTTTCTTCTCTTACTTGTTCAAAATGATTATTTTGCCAGTTATTTTCTGTTGTTACTTGCTGGCTGTGTGAAAGAGCCTATGATG